CCCGAGCTTCCCGAGGGTACTGCTGAGGTAGGTCCCCTCGCAATTGCTTCCATTCAGATCAGCGCTCTTCTAACTTTTGCAATGCTCTTTGTAGGACATCGGCTTCAAGGGCGTTGAGGGCGATTCCAACGTCCGAATTCTTGCCACCCCATGGCCCGAAAACGCTCTCCCAGCCCCGACATGTTCGCTCCTGGCCGTTGCGCCAACCAAAGGCATAATTGTTGCTGCTGGACCCAACGCCCTCTCCGTCGCATCTTCTGACGCCGTCAGAGCCGCTATGTCCCAACCCACAGAAGGCAAGGTAGTTAAAACCAAGCCTTTCCAGCCGCAAGCGACCATCCCCCTCCCTGCACGTCCCACGCATGTCACCTTTGCCTCAAACGATACCGCCCTTCTGCTGGCCACGGAGAATGGCGCACAACTGTCAGTGTTCGACACCTCGAGCTTAATGTCGGGGAATGCACAGCCAGCGTTGTCGATCCCTACCAATGGAACCACGTTTCGCACCATTGCGGCCAACCCGGCGCCGGAACTCTCGTCCCTTGTTGCGCTGGTGACGACGGGCGGTGATCTTCTGGTAGCGGACTTGAAAGCGGGCAACTTGGTCTCGGGCCCGAACGGTCAAGTGCTGAAGAGCGGAGTCAGCTCGGTCTGTTGGAGCAACAAGGGTAAACAGCTTGTGGCCGGGCTTGCAGATTGCACGGGCTTTCAGATGACCCCGGATGGCACGCAAAAGGATGTGATCCCACGCCCCCCTGATCTTGAGGGTGATTGTCACGGTATGTTGTACTGTTGATACGTATACTTCTGCTCTTTGTCTAATCACGCACAGTTTCCTCCATTGCTTGGTTGGAAAACGACATATTTCTTGTGGTATACACGCCGAACGCATTAGAGGATGACATGGGCCAGAACCCTCCTTCGTCCTATTATATCATCACACGACGGAAACAAGCGCCTTTCTTGATTCAGAAGTTGCCTGAGTTGTGCATGCCCTTTGGTGTCAAGCGCACCCCGGCCTTTCAGTTCATCGCACGCTTGCGTGACTACAAGCCTCACTTGAAGGATGTCCTCATTGTGTCTTCAACGGCCTCCACCGATGTGGGCCTAATCACCAGAGCAGACCAGCCATTGGTAAAGATGGACATGGACACTACTGGACTCTTTGTCACGACTGAAGTGTCAGATGACACAAAAAGAGCGAATGTGCCACTAGTGGCATCTACCGATGAGACTTCAGTTATCGGTTTGGGTATCGATCTCTCTAGCAAGGAAGTTGTCGTTGCTCCGATTGCAGGCGAAGACATCGCTGAGAGCTCCACTCCGTTGCCGAATGTGTTGCTACTAAACAACGAGGGTATTCTTTGCTCTTGGTGGTTCTTGTATTCGGACGCAATTCGACAGAAGGTCCTCTACCAGGGTATGGCGGATCAGACGCAAGCGCCAGCTCAGCCAACGCCGCCAGCTTCTCAGCCTCAAGCTTCACCTTTTGGACAATCAGGTTTTGGTGGCTCACCGGCTCTAGGATCATCTGCGTTTGGCAGTTCCGCTGCCCCGGGTTTTGGGAGTCCATCTGCTCAAGCCGCCCCTCAACAGTCCTCTTTCGGTGCGCCATCATTCGGATCACCGTCGCAGCCCGGGCCTTCCTTTGGCACGAATAGCCTGCTCGGAGGTAATAAGCCCCAGGGTGGTCTCGCCGCATTGGCAAAGAACGAGCCTGGGTTTGGACAATCCGGCTTTGCCTCACTGGGAGGAGGGTCTGGATCTTTTGGGCAACCATCTACGCCTGGAAAGGGACTTAGCTCGCTTGGATTTGCACAATCAGGTTCTAGCTCCGGAGGTGGCTTCGGAGCGTTTGCCAACAAAGGTGGCACAGGTGGATTCAGTGCTTTCGCGTCGGCAAAGCCAGCAGGCGGATCGCCATTTGCGCAAACCTCCACTACGCAAACGTCCACTGTAAGTCCGTTCGCCAAGATTTCCGGCACTTCGACCTTTGGCCCATCGACGTTTGGCGCACAAACTAGCACGGAGTCCTCATTTACCGCTGAGAAGACGATCGGGTCGACGGGTACTTTCGGGCAGAGCTCTACTTCTTTCGTGCTTGGATCAACATTCAAGCCTGATGGTAGTGCTGCAAATGATCTTCCGAAACCAGATAAGCCTTCTGGATTGTTCGGCTTCAATGAGTCAATGGATGACATGATGTCTTCCAGCAACAAGACCAGCCCGCCAACTGAGGAGATGGACGACATGGAAGACGAGAGCGCCACTTCGCAGCAGAAATCTGAGCCCAAGGAGGCTACGCCATCGTTGTTTGGAGCACTGTCGGCGACCCCAACCTCCGCACCGAAATCGTTGTTTGGCGCACCGTCCACAACTACAGATTCTGCACCGAAGTCGTTGTTTGGTGCACCTTCGACCACTACAGCTTCCGCACCGAAATCGTTGTTTGGCGCACCGTCAACGACTACAGATTCTGCACCGAAATCGTTGTTTGGTGCACCTTCGACCACTACAAGTTCTGCACCCACATCGACCTTTGGTTCTCAGAAGCCGATCTCGAATCCCTTCGGTCAACAAGCTAGCAAGCCTGGATTCTCACTGTTCGGTAATACAACTCCTGCCAAGTCACCGTTATCTTCCTTTTCTACACCACCCGCAGACACCCACACTCCATCGAAAGAGGATGATGCCCGGACGCCTAGTGCTACACCACAGGGCGCACCCCTACCGCCAGACCCTATCAGCAAGGCATCATATGGGCCCGGTGATACGTCTGCCTCATCGAACGTCTCCAAGAGCTCTGTCGATGACGCGCCTCTACCACCCGATCTCACCTCAAGCAAGCCCGCTGCTAAGGGACCTGCAGAAGACGCACCCTTACCGCCACACTTCACGACTTTCAAGAATGGAAAGAAGACAGACGATGAAGAAGAGGCAGAACCCGAAGAGGCTCCATTGCCTCCGGACTTCAGCATCCCCAAGCCACGTAAAGAATCCGAAGACGTTGCACCAGTCCCAGACGAATCCGATGGGGATGATTACGAAGGCGAGGAAGACGTATCTGAAGAAGGCGAGAGCGAGGAAGGGGAAGAGTCGGACTTCGCAGACAGTGGAGAGGACATCACCCACGATATCAGCCAGTCTGAGTCCAATGAGCCAAGTCCTAAGGCATTTCCTGGACCTTTCAAGCCCAGCGCGAAGCTCGCAGGCGGCCTGTTCTCCCCTGCTTCCAAGCCTGCCCCAGCACCGCAACCACAGCCTTCAAGGCCATTGTTCGGTGATAGGAGCAATCCGACATTCCCTGCACTCCAGAACCGAGAGCTTCCGAGATCGCCCAGTCCAGTACGAGGAGCCGCGTCGAAGAGCCTCTTCAAGGGTGATGGAAAGAAAACTTTCGGCACCCCTCAAAGTCCGGGCAGCGCTCTCACTGCAAGGAAAGCCTCTCTTTCTGAACACCAAAGACGCGAGAGTCAACTGAAGCCGAAGCCTTCCCGGAGGGAACCCTCGCAACAGGAGATTCGCGCGAGACAGTTAGAGGAGGAAGCGCAGGCTCTTTCCGACGACGATGAGGATGAGAGACTCCGTGCGGATCTTGCACTGCCTCTGGAACCTGTTCCTACCCTTGATCCTTTCTTGCCTCATCAAGACTATGCTGGCGAGACGAGTAAACCTGGTATTCCTGGTCAAATCGAACGGCTGTACCGTGATATTAACTCTATGGTGGACACCTTGGGCATTAATGTTCGTTCGTTGTCTTCCTTCCTTCTCTACCAAAAGACGTCCAGAGATTCTCAATGGGTCGACACGCTGAAGGAGGACAATGCCAGCGACATTCTGGACAAAGAACTGGTTCTGTCTGAGATTGAGAAGTTTGATGACGCTGTTGTCATGCTTGCTGCTTCTCTTGAACAGCAGCGCGTGCAGGGTGTGGAAGAGAAGCTCGAGAGTTGTCGGGAGCTTTTGAGTAAAGACATTATCACTCTTCGGGGTCAGTGTGCCAGCATCCGCAAGACGCTTGATGCTCACACCGACACGACCACAATGCACTTCGCACCTCTTTCCGCGGAGCACGCCAATCTGCAGCAAGACCTGCGGTCGGCATCCACCGAAATCCAGGCGAAGCTAGCCGATCTAGAATCTGCCGTGACTCTTCTCCGCGCCAAAATTGCTGACGTTCCCCCTTCGGGTGGCTCTCGCCATGCGACAAGACGCCCCACCGTTGAGGCTGTTACCACTACGATCCAAAAGATGATGGAGATGGCCGAGACTAAGCGCACCGATATCGATGTCTTGGAGGCTCAGCTCAAGAGATTGGGAATCGACACAACCGCTCCCGCGGCCAGCCAGGAAGGGTCCCCATTCGCGACGCCGAGGAAGAGCACCGGCCGATTTCCCACTACGCCGGGATCCCGTGGGTCAGTTGACGGGCCATACCACACTCCCGACTCGGCTAGCCGAGCCATCAACTTCCGATCCAGCATCAACGGGTCAGCCAGGGCTAGTCGGCTCCGCAACGTGGAGGCAGTCCAGGACCTGGTCAGCTCAGAAGAAACGGCGCAATGGAAGGCCAAGGTGCAACGCAAACAGCATATTGTCGAGAGTCTGAGGAGCGCCATTGGGGCGAAGAAGTCTCGAGTCCGGACGGTGAATGATTTGTAAAACTAGTGTTTATGTTTTCCTTTCTTGTGTCATGGGACAATCTTGCTGATGGCTACTTACTATGAAAGTCATGTCGGAGAAAAACAGCGGGTCTTTTCTGGCGGGGTTTGATTTTTCTTTTGTTTTGGTTTTCTGTTCTGCACAGGCAGATGTGAATCTTAGGTAGCGCGTCCCATCCGTCTCCACTGTACATAGGTCTCGATTGTAATGCTTGCACGTGCTTTTACGAGAAATGCGTTCATCCAGGTACTGATGAGGAATTTGAGGATAATAACCAGGCTGGCTGCTACCTAGGCTGGTGTACGGAATGCTGGGGATGGGAATGGTCTGATAGTGGATCGAACCTTAGGCACCAAGCTAGGGTCTATAGTCCTCCTCACTGACATCATCCCGCCCAAAGTGGGAGTGACATCAACATGGAACACCATCGATAAGCCTTGGAGTATTTATCATTCTCGTCCCCTCTCTGTCCAACAGACCACCGCCCAGCTAACTTTTGCAGCCACGAGCCTTTATATCATATTTCCATAATCATTCGATAGCCGCGCGCACAACATGTCGGAACAAAGCGTGACGGAGTTCATCTACTTCCACGTCAAGGACAGCGTCCGACCCGAGGACCCCGCCCACAGCGACGAGGGCGCCGCTCTCCTGCAGGTCTTCCAGAACACCAAGCACCAGAACGGATACAAGGGGTCCGTCTGGGGCCGGGCCGTCGAGGATGCGAGTTTGATCGTTTGGGCGATTGGTTAGTTTAGTTGAGCTCCTCTTTTGTCTCCAGCCAAGCCATCTTCCGCTACCCTCTACCTACCTATCTACCCTCACCACCTCACCCTCACCACCTCACCCCAACACAAACCTAACAGCCCAACAGACTGGAACGACGCGCACACCGGCGCACACCCGACCACGACCCTCGCCCCCTTCCTCCCATCGGACAACCCCGAGATCACCACCATCTTCGCCACCCTCACCCCTTCCACCACCCCCTCCTCCGCTTCCGAGAACAACAAGAACCCAACCACCACCGAAACCCTCCGCAGCAACCCTACCACCGAACTGTGGACCCCCGCGTTCCCGACCTCCCTCAGCCCGGAGGAAGTCAACGCCGTGCACGCCGACCTCATCGGCCTGCGCGCCGCCGTCACGGAGCGCCTCCCCGAAGGCAAACGGGCGGTGTCCTTTGCGATGGGCCAGGTGGAGCGGCCGGGGACGATGACGCACGAGCAGAGCGAGACCGGCGAGGCGTTTGTGGTGGTCGTGGCGGCCGGGTGGGCCAGCGTCGAGGTGCATCTGGCGGGCAAGGAGACGGAGGCGTTCCAGACGGCCATCGGGAAGGTCAGGGCCCGGTTGTTGGCGCCGGTTAGGGGGTTGGGGGGGTTGAAGCATTTTGAGTTCGCGGGGGTTGAGTGAACTAACTCACTGAGTTTGGGGGTGGGGGTTTGGTTTTGGGGGAGATGGGGGGAAGGTTTAGGAGGGTATAAGCTAGGTGTTCATGTGTGGTTTAGGTATTAGGTCTGTGTAGGGTCTGTCCTTTAAGGGTTGGAAGGTTGGTATTAGGGCTGGGGTTGGATGGTTGGGCGTGATGATGATGATGATGCCACAGAATTATGATCAGAATTCAAAGCTGCTTCCTTTTTTCTTTTGGTCACACAACAATAAGTACAATACAGCAGCCACGGGAGTGGAAATGGAATAGAGAAATAAAAGCCCGGAACGAAGACACAACAAGGAAATGCCCATTAGTTGGTGAAATGAGTAACAAAAAAGACCGACGGGATGGATTTTAGTGGTCAAGTCAGAAAGAAAAAAAAGAAGACCTCCAAAGTGTGTAGGAAAAAAAGAACTAAACTAGCTAAAACTTCATACTAACCCGTTTAGATACGATGCTTTTCGCTTTCTGTGTTTGCCGTGGCTTGTTAGTGGATGATAGATCGGATGAAAATACGGGGCACAAAAACTGACCGAGTCGGGAGTAGAGCATGTACAACGCCATCTGGTTGCACTCCTGAGTACCCGTGATAGTGACCAGGCGCTCGTTGCTGTTCTCTTGGGGCTCGTTGATCTTGATCACACTGCCACTCAAGTGTCGGATCTCGTTGATCTTGGCTCCGCCCTTGCCGATGATCGCGCCCACCATGTCGTTGGGGATGTAGATCTGTTGAGTCAATGGCTGACCAGGCATGACGCCACCGGCAGGGGCAACCGGGGCAGGACCACCGGCGCCACCAGCACGGGGCTGCGCAGCCTGCGGACCGCCGTAGGCCGCGGGCTGGTGCGGGCCGGCTCCGGAGTACGGGGTGTGGGGAGTAGCGCCGTAGGGCATGTTGGGCTGGGCGACAGGAGTGGGTGCAGCTTGGCCGTGGAGGTAGGGGACGCCATAGCTGCCGGCCGCGCCGCGGTTGGGGTGAGGGTGGTGGCGCTTGAACGTGTCGGGGTGACCATATTGGCCGCCAGCGGGTTGAGGCACATAGGGGACAACCTGCATCCCTCCAGGCACGGCTCCAGCGGGCCCACCACTGCGAGTAGCGTAGGCAGAGGCTGCCGGTCCGCCGAAGCGTTCAGTCAGCTGCTCGACCAGAGTCACGGCAACATAATAGGTAGCGATGTGCACGGCGTCCGCAACGCCAAGGATTACAAGGGACCGCTCAGTCGACAAGGGAAGGCAGGCATCCGAAGCGTTTAGACGTGCGCCAGAAGCCTCTTGGATCTCGCGGATCCGGCTACCACCCTTGCCAATGATCGAACCAATGAGGATATGAGGGATTAGCAAACGCAAGGGGTACGTCTTGGATTGGGCAGTTGAAGGGGCATCAAGGGGCTCGTTGTTCAAGGTACGGATGATCAAACCGAATGCCTGGCGTCCAAATTAGCATCACTGAACCAGGGCCGCGAAATTCACGTTTCTGGGGATTAAATGTCCACCAACCTTAGCAGCAGCGTCCTGGGGGCCGCTGACAGTCAAGATACGCTCCACCGCACCCCGGGAGTAATCGCTGACAGTGCACTTGGCTCCCGACAGACGACGAATTTGGGAAACATTCTCACCACCTTTACCGATGACGGTCGCAGCCTCCTGGCTGGAGATTACAGCACGGATGTGAATCCAGCTAGACTCGTCCTGAGAGCGCTGCTCAGACTGGGCAGCTGCAGACTCTCCGTGAGAAGCAGTCGACTGGATGGGCTGCGTCTCCGAAGAAGCGCCCTTGGCAGTCGGAGCATCCGGAACCACGGTGTCTCCTTGGCCATCAGCGCTGGCGCTGGAAGCCGCTGCGGCGTCCGTCTTCACCTCGGTATACGCCTCAGCCTCCTCGCCCTTTACTACTTTGTCCAAAGCCGGACGCTTGGCCTCGGGCTGGTCATTGGGACCCGACGGCGAGGAAGGATCTTCCAACGGACGCTTGGTCGATTGCAACGCGGATGGAGAGGCAGACATGATTTCTGTATGCCCAAAGCTTTGCAGTCTTGCTTCACTTACACAGGAAGTCGAAGTGTCAAGAATAGCTCTCTTGTTTTTTTTCTCTTTTGTTTTCTGTCTTCTGCTTTATGTGATCGACTATGTACACCAGGAGTTCCCAATAAAACTTGCTGGTGCTGGCGATCGGGTGGAGAGGGAATTCTGGTGCTTGGGATGACTAGGAGGACTGGTGTGAATATGGTGGCGGGAAAGTGAGGTTGGAAAGGAGAGGTCGACGGAGGAAAGTGTGGAAGGATGCTGGATTGTCACGGGCCTTGGTTTGGAGCAGAGAAAGCTTCACCAAAGCGAGGTAGTGGCAAGGTAGAGGATGTAAGGAAAAGAAACCAATCGAATCGGGCACGATGGAACGAAGCAAGAGGTCTTGGATGTTGGACGGAGACGAAAGGTGTGTTCAGGGTCCGGGCGAATTTAGATGCTGGAGGGTGGATAACGGTGGGGGAGGGAAAGGGAAGAAATGAAAGCAAGATTGAAGCCTGAAACAATTCCCAAAGTCCCAATTTCTCCTTGTTTTCCTGCCAGAAAACGCGACTTGCTCAGATGCACAGGCTGTATGTACGTACAGCACGTCGGTTACCCAATCACCTGCCGGAGGGGGAGTGTCTAGCGCAGGAAGTTGGACGGGGGAAAGACTCGAAAAGCTGAGGCAGTCGAGAATAGCCGATCGAAGCTCGCGGTCGTAGATAAAGATACGGATGTGAAAGGAATATGATAAGGGGAAGTTGATGGGCGAGGGTGGGAACGGGGGGTTCGACGTCGCGGTGAAGAGATGAGGTTGAGGGAGTTGGTGAGGCGAGCTGTTGGCATGAGACACGCTAGTCCGTTTGCAGTCAAGCCGCCCATGTTCCGCTGTCACGTGTTAAGCCATCAACAACTACTGTTATCCCATTGTATATCAAGCATATTGACAGGTCACAATACTTCACACGCTGCCAGATCACGAGAATAGTGACTGTGATTGAGCTCTATTTTACTCCGGAAAATAATTGCGAAGGACGTCGAATCTACGCTTCCTTGCTGTATTGTCATCATCCACTGCCATGGACGTCCCACAGGAAAGAGTCGATAAAATCCAGCGCTTCGCAGAGAAACGCCAACAAACAGAAAAGAGCCATGCCACACAGCCGCTGAGCCCAGCCAATATCCAGGCCTATAACAAGAGACTGGATGAAACTCTGCGAGAGCTACAAGAACAAGTCAAGCGTCAAGAAAATGAGTTGCGCAAGGTGCGTATTATGACCAATACAAAGACGACCAGCAGACATCGTCAACTAACACGCGGCCCCAGCTACGCGAGATCAACTCCATCGATCTCTCCAGGATCGGTACCAGCACCTGGGCCCGAGTATCTCAGGTGCGCCGGGCCAAAAAGGCGTATGACTCTCTCCTCAAATCGGAGACGGAGTTTCCACCGCTCGGTTCTCCGTTGCCGTCGTTACTGGCCGTTGAGGAGACATCCCGTCTGGTGAAGGAGACGAAGATCGCCGCCTCGGAAACGGGCAAGAATCTCTCTAACACGCGCCAGCGGTCGAAGACAGAGGAGGCGAACCTGCGCGATGCGCAAGCCATTCAAGATGGTCTGCAGCGACGGATTCGAACTGTGGCGAGTCAAAATGCCACGAAGGAAAAGAAGGCAAGCTCTCAACTAGCGCGGGAGCTCGTGGAGCAGAAGCAACGGGAAAACGACGAGTATGACAAGGCAACAGAAGATACGAAGACCAAACTCTACGAATTTATTGATCGGTCTCTTGCATCGATGCTTGCAGCAGAATCCCTCGGCGGACCGACTGTAGGCGATGTACCAGATGTCTCAGACGCTACCTTGGAACTGGGCTATACCAGCCATGGCAAGCCGAAGAAGCCGAAAGTACAGGCCGAAACAACTGAGTCAGGTACCAGCCAACGACGCATCGATGAGATTCTACCTCGACAGAACGAGCAAGGAAGGACCTCCAACCGAAGGGAAGTGGCGGCAGTCGAGATGCGCAATCTTCTTGACGAGTTGTTGGAAGCAAGCCCCTCGTATGTGAACGTTCGAGAATCCGCAGCTTCCAGGTTTCTAGTACGAGTCAAAGTGGCACAGTTCCACCCACGCGATGCGAGAAGGTTAAGATTAATTGATTTTGGGCGCACGCTATAATATCATCTAGCTGTCCATTCCCCGCCGCGTCGGCACTATCATGCGGGTTCTATATAGCGCTATAACATAGAAGCGCCATGTGCGCCTATCACACTATCCTTATGAGACACCCGAATGTAACGCCTATACATGCAATAGTCGCAATGAAACCACAGTCGCAAACGCTGATATATCGTAAACATGTCATTAATCGCTATATCTCAGATGCACGCAAAAAGGTATCTCAGACAGGCATCATCCCAATACGACTTGTCGCTGATTTCGGCTTGGAAGGTTTTTGGGCCGAGGTCGAAGAAGGGCGGTTGTCAGCACGGTCATGGGATTTCCTCCGAGCCCCTGCTGTTTTCGATTTCGCTTTTGCTCCTGTGTTATAGCGACGTGGACGTTTACTTGTCTGGCGTTTTCGGGGCTTGCCTTTGCCTGATCCTTCGCCACCGTTTCGAGATTCTTCAGTAGCATGCGGCCCTTGCTGCGACGAAAAGAACCTGCTGGAAACAACACTCTCATTCATATCAAAGTTAGACGCGTGGTCTGCCAGAAATCCCCCATCACTGAACTCATCCTCGTCCTCACTGCTGTTGAGGTAGATAACATTGTGATGGTTGGGATCGGGTACGACGCCATCGGCATCATCACGCTCTTTCCTTAACTCCTCATAGCGACGCTGCGTGTCCCTAACAAGTTTAAGCAGTTGAGAACCGTAACGGATAACTTTGTCAGGATCAATGCCAGGGATTGCAGCAAGTTCCGAAAGGTCTAATCATCAATCAGCACCGACCACAGTCATGATACAAAGTAATCTTACCTTTAGGGAAGACAATGACCATCTCGCGCAAGATGGTATCAGTAAACGGCTGGTTGCGCAGGCCTTTTTGAAGAACCAACTTTTCAATTTGTCAGTGGTTGCCCTGGTTCATGCTCTTTAGAATGTAAGGAATCTTACGTCTTGGCAGTAGTTCTTCGCATAGACCATAAAGTCCTCAGCTACCGCCTTGTGAAGAGGATCAAGCTGATCGAAACGGCGGTCTTGAGTGATAGGTGGACCGGGAGTGCGCTTTTTGTCTGGACGGGGCCTACCAGCGACGCGAATCTTCTCGAATCCGTCACTATCTGCATCATCAGTAGAGTCATCACCAGTTCCTTGGTATCGGAAACGCGCGAGTCGGCGCTGATTTGCGGCCTGTACAGGCGACGAGACGTTCGTAGATTGCGGTACGGTGTCCTTGCTGCCATCGGTTCGAGAAGACCGTGCGGGCCGTCGACCCTTCCCACTTGGTGAGACGCGGACGTCAAGCTTCAGTTTGACGCGACCACTTTCGTAGTCAGTTGCACGTGATCCCAGCTTGATGTACTGGATCACAAATTTGCTACCATTGATCACATTGTCCTCTCTCAAAGCCCCTTCCCTGAGAAGAGTGTAGAACAATCGTTCAACTTCTCCCACTGCTACACCTTTCCCGTCGCCATAGCCTGGGGCATTGCGGTGCTGAGGTGATCTGAACTTCTTAACTGTCCCTCGGAACATGTTCTCGCAATATGACATGGTAACCTTGTCATCCAGGTTTTGAAAGTAGCGAACGAGTTTAACCACAGAGGCAGCGTGGTCTGAGAAATCATGAAGTTCGGTAACAGAATCAGATTTGCAATTGTCGCAAGAAGCATTGCAGTCTTGTCGGCGAAACTTCTCGTTGAAGTAGCCGAGAATTTGCACTCGTCGGCAATCGGTCTGGTTCTCGCAATACTGTACGACCATGCGCAGCATGAGGCGTTGTCTGTCCTTTTGTTCCTTGCTTCCATCACTACTATCGATCATGCGGAACAAAGTTGTTGTATCTTTGTAGGTGTAGAACAAGTAGCAACCAGAACGCTTACCATCTCGACCGGCGCGTCCTGTTTCCTGATAGTAGCCTTCCAAGCTCTTGGGAATGCTATGATGGATCACGAAGCGTACATCGGGTTTATCAATTCCCATTCCAAAAGCGATGGTTGCGACTATGACGTGGGTCCTTCCAGCTTGCCAGGCTTGCTGAATTTCTGCGCGATCCTCGGAGCTCATACCAGCGTGATAATGTGCAGCTTTGATTCGATACTCCTGGCGAAGTTTGCTAGCGACGCTTTCACATGTCTTGCGCGAAAGACAATAGACGATCCCCGACTTGTTGCGGTATGAGTTGTTTATGATATCAGCGATGCTGGCTAGGAGTTCAGACCCCTTCTGCTTCTTCCGCACTTCATAGGACAAGTTAGGTCGGTTAAAGCTCTGAATCAATACTTCGCAGCCTTCCATCCTTAAGTTGTGGATAACGTCAAGTTTGACATTCTCGGTCGCCGTAGCTGTTAACGCCATCATCGGGACGCCAGGAAGCCGGGTTCGGAGTTCTCCAAGTTCCTTATAGTCGGGACGAAAGTCATGCCCCCATTGACTGACACAATGAGCCTCGTCGATGACAATGCGAGCTAGCTTGTGGTTGTTGCGAAGCCTTTCTAGGCTGCGAACAATGGCTTGGCTCTTGTTGACCATCTCTGGAGTGATGTAGAGCAACTCAATCTCTTTCTCGGGTCTGAAATCAGATAATATGTCTAGAATCCGCTGGCGCTCTTCTTTCTTTGTTTCGCCATTCAAAACGTACGCCTTGATATTGAGCTTGTTGAGATGGGAGACTTGGTCCTGCATCAAACTCAGCAGTGGTGATATCACGATGGTAACTCCACTTGTCATCCCGCTAGAAACCACAGAGGGCAGCTGATAACACAGAGACTTGCCGCCTCCTGTGGGCATTAGCACAAATACATCTTTGCCACCGAGCGTTGCGTCTATGGCCTCAAGTTGATTAAGACGGAATCCCTGGAGTCCGAATCGATCCCTTAGTGCAGCCTTCACATCTTTGGTCCATGCATGTTGTGTCCACAGAGTGTTCTGGCTTTGTTGCTTCTGCGTTGCGGGAAAACGCGGGGTGTTCCCTGAGGCTTCAGCAAAAACCTTACGGTTCTGAAGCTCGAGATGGTTTGCCGAATTCGTGGAGGGATCTTCAAAGTA